AATATATATACATATCGTTTGTTGTCCTCTTCTCCCTCTCTGCCTACGGTTTACCGGGCAGTTCTATTTGACGATATATAATATATATAGTATATATATTATATATATATATTATAATAATTATATATATTGTTTTTTTTGTGCACCTGGCGCATCTTCCACAGCGCGCACACCTCGCACTGCGCACTGCGTACAGCGGACAGTGCGCGCGCTGGACTTCCAGCACACAGCGCACTGCGCACCGCCCCGCCCCGCGCTGCGCACTGGTCCGCCGCAAGTATGGCAAATTACATTCACCATGGCAGACATTGGAAAGCGAAGTCACAAATACAGGAAGGTGAGACGAAAAGCTTCGAAAAACGAACGAGGTCGTGTGAGCCCACTCCGAAAGGCCACTTCCGGGACCTTCCGGAAGTCTGTGGACTTGGCCTTTCGGGTACTGTAGCAGCTACGACCTTGACCTTTCAGGACTGTAGCAGCTACGACCTTGACCTTTCAGAATACCTATAGCTACGACCTCTACAGAGCTGGGACTCCTACTTCACAGATCTACAGATCGAACCCCTACCACTACACAGACCTACGACAGACAAACAACAACTAACAAAACACAGGTCACGGGTTCAAACACTCAGGGGTCAACTCGATACTGTACACAGGTAAAGTGAGAACTAGGGGTTGAGCCCTGGGATCTGCATTCGCTACTGCTAACAGGTGAAAACCGTTTCACTCCCGCCGGCCTAAATTCGAGGTCCTCCGAGAATAACTTAGTCTAAGGCAGGACCTTTACCTTTCTTACCTCTTTCGTAGGCTCTAACTACGTCGGGAGCTGTTTCTAGAAGTTCGGTTCTAGTAAACCAGCGGTCGTCTTCTGGCTCCTGATAAGCAAATCGAACCTTATACTGCTTCTGCGGACGACCTCTACCTCCTGTTCTGAACATGTCTTCACCTACAATGCCGTCAATGTCGTATCTTCCATCCATGTCTGGAGGGATCATGGATCTCCTAGATGGAAACTGTCGACTTGTGACATACGGCAACAACTTTGAGGCATGAAACACAGGGTAGGTGTGGAGGTGTGCTGGGATCTCTACTGTGTGGACGGCCCATCCTCTCCGCCCTTAACTTCTAGAACTGGCCACGGTCCTCTATATGCGGGCAGTAACTTCTGCGAGATGTTCTCCTCAGGAGCAAACTCTTTAGACTTGACCCAGACCAGGTCGCCCACTTGAAATTGTGGCGGGCGACGGTGCTTATTGGCTTGTTCTATCATTCGGTGCTGGGCCTTCCTGAGGTTCTCTACCACTGTAGCTAACTCTTTCTCATGCTGTAACGCAAACTCCCTAGTACCGGGCGGTAGCCTATGAATCTGATCCCGGTTAAGTCCTTCAAACGGTCTGCGTGGTCTAAAGGACTTGTGCAACTCATTGGGAGTGCGACAGGTGGACAAGTGCACGCTGTTATTGTATGCACTGGCTACCTTGGGTAACATCTCGTCCCAGTTGATCTGATCGGGTCTAATGTACATACGCAGAACTTGCTGCAGGATCTTGTTCATCTGTTCAGTCTGACCGTTAGTCTCTGGATGATGGCTAGATGACATCAACAGCTTGGAGCCATAGACTCTCATCAACTCCTGCCAGTTCTGACTAGTGAACCGGCTGTCTCTATCACTAACTATAGACAGTGGAATCCCGTGTTCACTGACCCAATGATCAAAGAATTTCTGAATAACTACTACGGTGCGTGCCTCTGACGGCAAAGGAACAAAAACAGCATACTTACTGAACCTATCAACTATTACCATGACTTGGCTCTTGCCGTGCCTACTCTTGACATGGGTGTCCATAAA